TGGCTCGACTCGGTGGGTGTTCGGGCATCAGGCCCCTGAGGAAGATTTCCGTGCCCACCAAAGTTTCTACAGATCTTTGGGCTTTCCCAGCAGCCCAGGCAGGAGCCAAGCGCAAGGAGCAGAAGGCAGCCTGCTTTCGGGGGCCCCGTGAGCTGCAGGAGGACTGGCTGCAGCCCCCTTCGGTGGAGCGTGTGGGGAGCCTCAGCGGGATCGAGTCATGCTGAATAGAGACCCCGCAGCCACCTCTTTTTGCTGGTGCCGACAGCACGGGGGGTCCTTGGGCCAGTGGTGGTCTCGGCCATGTAGAGTCCATGCAAAATGCATCACTGAGCTTTGCTGCGTGTTCAGTATCACGTGGCTTGGGCTTAGCTTGTTACAAAACTTTTTTGCCTTTCTTCTGAGATACAGAATCTCTCTCTTAATGAGTACGGAGAGAAGGATGTTTTTGGTAGAGATGCTGTTCATGTGCGTGGGCATCTTTTTGAAGATGGCCGGTAGGTATTTGTAGCTCAAATCAGAGTGAGTCAGGACTGGATACTGGAAGTCGTGGGCTGTAAAACTGACACGCAGAACCAGAGCCTTAGTGGCCTTTGCATCTTCAACTTGGTAATGGTAGACCAAGTGGTAAACTTGGTGGTAAACCCACTGAAGCGGTTCCCTTGGGAATTGCCATATTAAAATGCTTCAGGAAAATAGGACATGTTGCTGTTGGTGTCTGTTATGTGGTCAGGCAAGATGAGCTCCAGCAGTGTCTCTAAGCGAACATTACTATTAACATGTTTTTAATGAGTGCTGTAGGCCTAAACCGTACCCAACGCATCTCCTTCAGGCATGAGTGTTTGGCGTGAGCTGCCAGGCAAGGACCTGAGCTGCCAGGCAAGCAGCACTTGGGCAGAAGAGCAGCTATAGTGCAGCATGGTTTGCTTTGTGAGATTTTTGAGTTTCTTTTGGTGATGATGGTAATGCTCTTCTGCACCTCTGACTAAAGTTAGTCAGTCTACCTTCATAGCTGTCCCAGTTTTCCTTAATATACTTGAAAGGGGTTTCTTCAGTCCTTGAGGAAAAGCAGAGCACGGAAATTAGGAATGGAAACTTAAAACCTTCACTTCAATCTTGTTTTCAGCACAATAGATGCTTCACGCTGCTCCCACATGGGAAATACACATATTAAGTGTGGAGACACGCTTAATACACACACACATGTGGAGAGAGGTGAAGTGATTTGCAAAAGGTCAGAGAGCCAGAGCCCAGAGAGACTGGGATCAGCCCTGAGGGCTGCTTGGCTCCCAGCTGGTGGATGACACTTTTTTTTTTTTTTGCATGTCTCGGGTGTGCAGAACAGAGTGATCTGTGTTTGCACCAGCGGCAACTGCAAGGAAGAAGTGACCTGTGCACACCAAAGGCGTTGTACCTGTTTATCAAGAGCTCAGGCAGTGGCCCCTCCCCACCTAACTGTCTTCCTCTTTTTGTTGCTTGGAACATTACAATATACTAAGAACAGCCTTTTTTTTTTTCTTTTTTCTCTCCCCTCCCCCCCCCAGGTCAGACTAAATAGCCTTGGTTGGGGACTGGGGGACTTTGCTTTTCCTGAGTGATTGTTTCGGGCTGTCTGACGACTAGGGCCACCAAAGCTACACATCCTGCTCCCCTTTTGCTTTTTGTTGGTTCTCTCCATGGCAATAAGGGCTCCTGTGTGCCTCTGCTGCATGGCGGTCTCAGAGGGTTGCCAGTGCTTGTGATCCTCCTTATGTGGCAATGAGTACCAGGGGGAGGGAATCTGACCTGCAGAAATCTAACAATGGTGTTCCATGAGCTGATCTAACTAATTTCTGAGTTTGTTTTTTAAGCAAAACTGTACGGTTTTCATAAGGAAATTTTAGGCTGGCTTTTGCAACTGTCTACCTGCTGACTGTTGTTTCAGTATCCTGGAGCTTGCCTGCAAATGAATTAATGCAGATAGTACGATATCAGGAAACGCACTTAGTGGATTGTATTGTGGAGTACTATTTTTTTTTTTTCTTCCCTGATAGCTTAGATCAGTTCCCTGAGTGCAACGGGTACACAGAAAAAGGATTGGTTTATTTTTCTAGTTGTATTGCTTTCTCCTGCCACATCTGCATCCCCTCTAAAACAACTGTCCTGGCAAAATTTAACCTAAATTCAGCTTCTGTCAACAAGGTGAACATTAAGAAGCAGTTGTTCTGGGGAGCACTGATAAAGTATATGAACTCCATGAAGAGTCTGCATGAGTCTCCCTGCTGTCCTGTGCTGTCCTGTCCTGTGCACTCTGCTCCACAGAATTGCAATTGCAATCCGTAGCAATGGTGCAATGGAGAAGGGAGCTGAAAAAAGCTCCTGGCTTCTTCCCTCAGATCCCCTTTAAAATGGGCTGTTGGGTGGGCCAGCTTTTTCTCTCCCAAGAGTTATTATAATCTATTTACACTGGGAAAAGGAAGGTTTGCTGCCAGGCAGCATACTTTCCATCAGCACATGTAATTGCTGGGTGGTGGAGAGAGGTAGAGACTCTGGTTTTCAGGCAGGAGGGAGGGAGCGTGGCCAGGATATGCGCTGCGCAGCATCATCGTGTGCCCGGCCATGAATTCCAGGTTTTGCAGGGATGTGGCTCAGCTGTGTAAGCAAAACCTTCTGCCCATTCCCCCCTCAGCGTAAGCAATAGGAAGGGAGGTGAGTAGCCAAGCTCCAAGAAGCTTGAGGGATGGAGAACTGGCCCCGGGGTGCAGCTGCAACAGGGCTCTTTTTTTAGCTTGTTTTGATTTCCACACACACATGGGCCATGCAAAGTTGGCTGAGCCAACCTTGACTGGCGGGTGAGCAAAACAAAAAAGGTTTAATGCCACCCAGACTAGCTGCTTAGCTTCACTGGAGCAGAGGCGGGTTTGATTTCTGGTGTGGAGAGGAGGTTCTTGTATAGGGCTGACCCACAACAAACACTCTGCTGTGTTGCTCGGATGTCTCCGAGGGAGCAAGAGGAGGTTTGTGCTGGCGTGTGAGGATGCAGCGCAGACGCATCCACTGCTGAGAGGGACCTTCTTGTAGTGACCTTAGACCATCCCCTAAGGTTCAGTCAAGGTCTCTCTAACATCTATACGCATATAGTAGAGGGAAACCCTGACTTAAACTCTCTCTTTTGAGATTTAAAAATTATTTTAACAAGTGAGAGCATGTAAGTCCTGAAGCAGCACTTCAGAGCTCCTTTCCTCCAAGCAGAAGCGCCTGCTGTACCTAACTGGCCCTGAGCCACCATGCAACCAGGCATTGCAGGCCCTGAGGACTAACAAACATCCACTGGGATATTACAGCATGGATCCAGCCCTTTTGGGATCGGGGGGGGTCTTGCTCCTGCGCTCGGCAGTCTGTGCTGCTGCTGGTAGTGGCACTGGTAGAGCAGAGGCACAAGCAGCCCTGCAGGCTGCGAGGTGCTGGGAGGTCAGGGCAGAGCCCGTTTGCCCAATTTGCCCTCACAGTTGAAGACAAAAACAGAGAAGTGAAACTGTACACTTCTGGTCACAGCAGGTATGTGGGAGGAGGGAGGGTTGAGCCATCCCCTCCCCAACAGCTGCCGAGGTGAAGGGGTTCAAGAGAGCAAGGATGCATCCACCTAATACCGAGCCCTTAAAGGACCCAGATCCAAAGCCCAGCTCAGCCCACAGAAGGGCTATTCGTGATTTCATCATCCTTTGGATCAAGACAGAGGGTTTGAAGTGGTGATCGTGGCTGGTAATGAGGGCGGTGGATTCCTGTTCCCCAGCCTGCTTGTGTGCAGCTGGGGAACATCTCCTTTATCTGTCTGCAGCCAGCTTGTCGGGCCCATCCACTCCTGCTTCTGCTTGGAGGACTTTGCTTTGTTTCCTGTTTCACCTAAAATTTCTTAACTTCTGTCTCCTAAAATATGGTAGTTTATCTTTTGCGGTTCTGTGTTTCACATCTTCCTGTATGCTCTTAGACTTATTTCCTGCCTCTTCTCCTGCGTTTTCTGTTTCTCACATTAGCTCTCTAAACCCTCGCAAGCTGCTTAGAGCAGCTAGATGCCTTTTCCGAGACATACAATCCCAGACAAAACTGTCCCAGCCCTTGCACTTACGCAGCTGCTATTGGACCATTTTAAAAGGAAAGGGCTGGTGGGTGAGGATGGAGTCAAGGGAGGGAGGTCCTCGCTTGCCGGTATGTCTGCAACGCTGACAGACCAGCGGAGTGATTTGCACGCTTTCCCATGGGAGAAGCAGCATTTTAACTCTTCCCTGATCACTTTAGAGCTGATTATTTCTGATCTCTTGATCTTTTATGATCATTTTATTAGGTAAGAGGGTGAGTTAATCTCTATTTTAATCAATCCCTAATTTAGATAACTGCATTATGTACCCATCTTCTGCCTTGAACTTCCTCATTCATTCTCTTTGTGTTTTGCAGACTTCCTGGCTGTGCTTCAGCGGTGGGTGACTGAATATAGTCTTCTCTGTGTCACGGTGACGGTAGTAATGTGAAGTTTAATGAGCACCTGCAAAGTCCTGTAGCAGGTAAGGGCTCCAGGGGTCATTCTTCCTTCCAGATTTGATGTGATTTTAAAAGGCTTCTTGATGGGCTCTCACTAGGAGATCCTAAGCCTTGCAGCAGAAATGCCGGAAGGAAAGTGGTGTGGCTCATATTTTAGTAAACGTTCTCAGCAGCGAGGGTCAGACAGCACTTGCAAAGCAAAAGTAGCAATATTGTGAAGGTTTAATTTGGAAATGGCTTCCGTTTAGAAGATCAGTGTTAAAAGCCTCTCTCTTTCGGCATTCAATATAAAATTGCTTTTATCTGACTGCTTGGTACAGTTGGGGTCTAGTCAGAGAGTGATGGCAGAAGGGAACCAACAGGTTCTGCTGCATTTCCTGCTATGCAGGAGAACTTGCCAGAGGTACCTTACCTAGGTTGGGAAAGCACTAGATCCCCCCTCTTCTAGGTGTTAGAGGGAGAGCAAAGGCCTGGAAGTGCCTGGGTAACCTCCTGATGATCGAGGTGATAGCAGAGGCAGCCAGATTGAAGAGAAATAGTGGCTTTTACAAGCCAGCAATGCGTAGAGTTTTCATGTTTGTACAAAAACCCCTGAAAAACGCGCTGAAAGCAGAACTGCCGAGTGAAACTCTGACGTCTGGCAGTGCCACTCTGCGAGCGTGTGACAGGAGGCTCTGCGGGTAGCAGTGGTGGGAAGGGAAGAACTGGAGCTGATGGCAGAGGGAGCCACCAGAGCAGCAGTCTGGCTGCCACAATGTCCTGCTACAGCTCTGAGTACCTGTTACTTCATGTACTCCACGTGTTTTTTTTCTTTTTCTTATTTATTCTGGATCTGCGTCTGTGTTGGGTGGTGTCTGTCCCCTTCTTCCCACCCCAGTCAGTTCAAACGGCTGCTCTGCTCTAGCAAAGCTCAGTTCACAGCATTCCCTGGCATGCTCCTTCAACCAGCCCCGATCAAAGCTGTGAGAGCTGGCCCCTCGCCATCCTCCTGTGTGTAAATGAAGCTCTTTCTCTTTTTCCTTTCCCCCCACCGTCTTTCATTATTATTCCTCTTCCAGAGGCAGGTTTTTCTGGCTGATCTAGCACATTATTTATATCAGTGACATTTGCCTCAAGGCAGAGATGCTTTTCTAGCATTTACAGGGAAAATATCTGATGCACCCCACTGCCATGCATGTGGCTTGGAAAAACCAAGCATGGTGTTGGCAAGGATGAGGACCATTGAGGCCAATGGTTGCAGAATTTAAGCCCTGTTAGGCACAGTTTCCAATTCATATGGTTATTTCCGTTGCCTGGCAAAGGAAAACATACTGTTCCTTTGCTTTCAAAACCAGGGGGAAGAGCACGTAGAGAAGGTTCTTGCACCTGAGCAGAAAAGTGACATTAGCTATAAGGCGTCAGCTGAGCCACCTGTGTAACCAACTGCATCTTTCTCTGGGTTGCCTCAAGGGATGTTGGGTGCCATCAATTGAAAAGATAGAGTTTGCGGCCAAACCCAAACGAAAACAATGAAAATCAGCCTCAAAGTGCCTTGCTTTCAGTTCTTCCAAATTGCAGAGGATTTGGTAATGCTCGGTGAGCACCTGATGAGGAGTGGGAGCAAACGGTTCCCACGCTGCCCGCAGGGAGGGAAGTAGTTCCCTAAGACAAGATACCGCCTGTATGTGCCAGAATCCCGGCAGGGCTTACAGCTTGTTTTGGAGAAAGCACATGCAGTGATAAGGAGACTTTCCTACGGGTAGAGGTAGTTAAGCAGTAGTCTAGACTGCCTTGGGAGGCAGAGATGGAGATTTGCTGGAAGCTTTTCAGAACAAAGCAGACAAAGACTTGCCAGAAACCATCCAGGCGCACTGTAGGCCATGCGTGTAGGCAGAGGCGGGAGACTGTATTACTTTTTCAGACCTCTTTTTTTCCCTATTTTTTAAGCTCTTGTAGAATATTAATACATACCAGAGATGGAGCTAAGGAGGCGTTCTCAAGCTTAAATTGTGACACTTGATGTTCACAGTATAGTGCTTCCCAGAGGGACTTGTGCTTGTGTGTGTATCTGCTCCCAAAATGCTTAGATCCTAAGCTATTTCCTCCTGAATGTTCAGGTACCTGACTGCCACTGGTTTCAGATGAGAGTTTGATTTCTAAAGACCTCTGGAGTTTTAGCAACCAAATACCTTGGGACTGTTGGAAACGTGAGAGAAAACACCTGGATTTTCTGCAGCACCACCATTTCTGCACTACAGATTGCAACCCATTCATGATAATTGACGAAGAGCCTTATCTTTTTCTTTCAGGCTAGTAGGGGCAAGGATGAGATGGGTTTCTGTATTTTGGGTAGCTGGAATCCATCCCCTCCCCTACCGTAACACACGGTGACATAAATTATCTGGCATACTAGGTGACTCAGGGACATAGAGCTCTACTGCGGTCCTACCTAGCGAGCTGGCTATGCTCAGTCTAAGTATCATGGCTACGGTCTTCCACAGCCAAAGTCAAAAGACAGTCTGAAGGTGCTTGGCTGATATCCATCCCACCTCCTTGTTGAGCCATAGCTGCTTCATGCTCTTGGAACGATGCAGGGTTATGATCTCAAGCTCTGAAGGAGTTATAGGAAGAAATGTTGGCTGAAAGGGCGTGTTTGCATCATAAGTCATCCACAACACGTGCTCTCAGCTCAGCTTGTATTTGCTGCTAGTCCTGGACACTTTCAGTCTCCCATGCGGGGCTGGAAACTGTCTTTGCTCCTTGCTAAGCTAAGCTCCTTGTCTGATGCAGCAGAGGGGATTTTTGTGCCTATGAGCAGGGGCCCCACAGCTATGACTCACAGTTCCCATTACGTTGTAACTTAGCCCTTAAGTGTGCGGAGAGGCTGTCCCTTGGCTTTCAAACAAAGCCTGCCTTTGTTGTGCTTATGCTATAAAGGAAGCAAGCGTATGTGTTCACCCCACACATCCCAAATGAAAACCACGTGGCTTCACAGCCTTACCGTGTGTTTGGTACTTTTGCTACAGCAGTGCATGTTACATCACTCTTATCCCATTGAGTTTTTTCAGAGTTTTTCTTCCCAGCATTCAGTTTACAAACTCTTCAGGGAAAAAAAGAGCTTAAAGATATTTTCTTTTGTTGGTAAGCAGAGGGGTCTGAGCAAAGAGCACATTAAAATTATTAAATATAGGTGCATGTGGCAATAGGCTGGTCTCTGAGTCATTCCCTTGGGTGAAAATGGCTCTGAGTTGGTGGCCACACGTGCTGAAAGGATGAGCTTCATGGAAATATTGTATGGAAGTGGGGCAGTTTGTTTTCTTGCATGGCTTTGCTTTTTTCTTCTGATTTTTTATTTATTCAAACTCATTTTGAAAAGCAGGGTTAGCCAGCAGTACTCTGCAGCCAACATATTTGTGTGCGTGCGTGTCTCTTGGCTGTTTTTAGGTTTATGACTAGCGAGCCAAGACTGGGCTTACTGCTTCCCAAAGCATTTGTGTTGTTTCTCCTGTTCTTTTCTAGAGCCACCAGGTAATGGAGTAAGAAGGCCTGATTCTTTCTGCAGATGCTGGTGTGCAATGTGGAGTGCCTCTGCTTAGATCAGGGAGTCATCCTAGTGAGAGTCAAGGAAACGGGGCATTGCAGTAAAAGTGCTCTTTCTTGCTCTCTCCTCCTTCCACATCCTCTACCCATCCCTGCAGGGGCTTTCACAGCCTGCTTTTTTTTTTAATTTATTTTATTTAAGGAACTATATTGTGTTTTATAAAAAAGCTGGGATTTCAGGCAATGGAATAAAGCATTGCTTTTCATTTCTGCGGTGACGTTTTGGCTACAATAGCCAGCTTTTAAATACTGTTCCTCCCCATCTGTTTGAATACAAACAGCTGTAACTAGTTAGCAAAACAATAGTCCAATATTACACAGACCTCCAATCCCAGTGTTTTTGAGTCCTGTTTAAGCAGCTACTTGGGCCTGCGGGTCTCCTGACATAGGAGTGTGACTTTGTCACTGAGTCAAGACTGTGATGGAGTACAAGATCTCAGATCAACCAAATTCCCAGCCTGCAATGACAATTTGTTTTTGCTGTGTTTTTGTTCAGCGTCTCAGTGTGGAAGTGTCTGGCAACTACTGTGCTTTCCACTGTCTGTAATATGTAAGTGCTCATTGTTACATGACTGAAATGGGACTTTGTAGTTTCACATGTAAAACAGAATCATTCTGCGAGTCACATCTGAGCTGTGCCAATATCCACATATGCTCTTCTTAGGTGTGCTGGAGTGGTGTATCCCTGCTGGGAAATTAATTTTCTAATAATGTTTCCACCAACCCTTTTAATACCAAAGCATTCATTTCAATGCATGTACAATATACAGTTAAGTTGGATGTGTAGCAATATAGGGCATACGCTTACCTTAGGATGTGGAGAATCAGAGTAACCACTGCCTTATTTAACAACACCGGTGTGATTTCATCCACCTTGTTTAGAATTAAGCGGGGAAAAGGAGGGCAGATTTAAACAAACATCTTGGCAATTGAACCCTTTTTGTATTCTCGCCACCTTTCCCTGAGGTGACTGCCAGATGGGATCAATGACCCATGGCTGCCTGCACGTGCAAGGGGAGGTCGTGTGGCTGAGAGGGTGACGGCCAGAGTGGGTCCCAGCGTGAGCACCAGGTGGAGGCCAGAGAGCATCTGTGCAGTGACATTCCTCCATACATTGTGGTTGACACTATCAGGCTTTTGGTAAAGCAGCGGGGGGGGTTGTGTCCATCTGTGCTGATGAAAGATTGTGCAAGGGAACGACCAGCTATTGCCCAGGCTCCCATGATGTTTGGGCTTGAGGGGGAGGGAGCTGGCGAGGTTGGTAGGCCAACCTTCTTTTCTATTTCTTGGTTTGTGTCTTTTCTCCTCCTAAAAAAAAAAACCCAAAAAACAAAAAAAAACCCCACCCAAACAAACAACCAAAAAAACCTAAACCACAGAAGTTCAGTCTACTCAATTGTTTTCTTCACAATTAACAGACAAAATTTATTTGGCTTAAAAAGCC